TAAACCCTAGACCCTAAACCCTGCACAGTAGGGGTTAGAAAACTAAGGTAGCGACATACTGCACCACGGACATTGACACCGGCAGGCCCTCATCGAAGTAGGTGATACCCATCCTTGGCTCAGCCATGACAGGGGTTTAGGGTTCAGGGCTTAGGGTTTGGGGGTGTGGGTGATTAGGGTTTAGCGGTTGCTTGTTTAGGGTTTAGGGGTTTAAGGGTTTGGGGTTCAGGGGTTTAGGGTTTAGGGTTCAGGCGTTAGGGGTTCAGGGGTTTAGGGTGAGCTGCATCTTTGCTACACTCAGGCTCTGTCGTGGTTGAGAAATTCACTTCAAAAACGACGCCCAAGGCCAGATTGCAGCTTTAATCAAATAGACCCGAACAGGCCCAACGTGACTGTGACGTTCCATTTGCACTTTCTTGCCCAAAGGATCCTAAGTACTTATGTGGGGGGCATACTTTTCCTAAATCGTAATAATCATTCCTAAGCTTTGAGAAGTTACCAAGTTTGTGCTGTAGAATGGGCCCCAAAAACCCTACTAAAATTATTAAGGCTCCTATCTTAGAAGCTATCCAGGTTTCTGAACTTCGACACCCAGGAAGATCGAGTTCGACACCACGATCAGCGCGCAGAATGCGTCGAACAATGGGGAGCCCACCAGCCATTCCACCCCTGACAGGGGGCGAAGGTCCTAAACCCTAAACCCTCAAACCCTAAACCCTGAAACCCTAAACCCTAAAACCCTAAACTCTAAACCCTAAACCCTAGGGGTTTAGGCTCAGGGTTTGTAGGGCGTTGGCTCGGATTCAGGCCTCTGCGCCATTTCTGTTTGGGGCCTTGTGATGCTGCTACTTAGCTTGTGGCCCTAAGCCCTAAACCCTAAAGGGCCTTCAGGGGCTGAAAAGTTTAGGGATTCGAGGTTGAGCACCGTCAAAACCCGAAGCCTTAAACCTAGTATTTACCTATGCTAATTTGGGTTTCTTATTCTAATTTTGGTATAACAGGCCCCAAAACCCAATTCTAATTATTAAGGCCGCGATAATGGGCGCTCTTGGTGCACGGTCAAAAAGAAATAACCACATGTCCACAACCCCGACCACTACGACCACAAACGCTGATCATTGCACTATCAACAGAAATACGAATGACTATCAACAGAAATACCAATGATGATAGTCAGGGCCACGGTACGCATGGCCAAGACAACACTACTGTACATGCAGACTCGGTGCGCAGCATGAAATTCGAAGGAACCAGAGCATTCAGACGACTGCACAGATGTACAGCTGAACTGAGTTTAGCTGAAGCACAGTCGGCAGTCGCGAAACATGAACGGAAGGGAAGGGAAGCATAATCTCTGAACCCTGTTACATGAAGTGAAGTGTGGTGGATTGAGGTGGTGAAGTCACGTGAGGTGAAGCTCACAAACAAGGCAATTCTAGCATAAGTTCGGCTCGAATGGGTTCGGCCGAGTTGGTTTAGGAAAAGATTGGCGCAAGGTACATCAAGACTGGGGTAGAGGCTAGGTTGTGTATCAATGCATATGGAAGCGCTGTGGTGGGCGCATGAGGGGGCGGGGAGGGAGGGCGGTTCAAAGCCCAACACAAGGTGCGGCAAAGCAGCAAACGAGCATGACGACCGATTGCAAAACCAACATTAGATAGATGGGTAGATAGCTAGATAGACAGACAGACAGATGAAAACACACTATTGGCTAGGTAGATGACCTGGTAGACAGGTAGATACATGGACCGATCGATGGATGGAACATGGATAGATGGAATATGGATAGACGTACGGATGAACCGATACATAGAAATATCGGCAGCTAGATGGGTAGACAGTCAGATAGATAGGTAGATAGATAGATGGATGGATAGATATATGGCTATGGCCTGATAGACAAATAGATAGATTTGTACATACATGGATCGAACGATAGATGGCGCATAGATGGAACGATATCCGGCTAGAAGTATAGATGCAAAGAAACGATACATGGACACAAATGTACATGGATGGATGGATGGATGGATGGATGGATGGATGGATGGATGGATGGATGGATGGATGGATGGATGGATGGATGGATGGATGGATGGATGGATGGATGGACAGATAGGTAGATAGGTGGATAGGTAGATAGGTCGATAGGTACATAGATAGATGCGTAGTTAGGTAGGTAGCTAGATAGGTAGATAGTAAGATAGATAGGTATACCGATGGACAGAGAGAGAGAGAGAGAGAGAGAGTAGGTAGGCAGGCAGGCAGGCAGGAAGGCAGGCAGGTAGGTAGGTACGTACAAATAGACAGGCCAGCAGGCAGGCATGTAGGTAGGTATGTAAGTAAGGAGCCTTAGGGAGATACAGACAGGTAGAACAGTAGCTAGATACGTAGGCAAGTAGATAGGTGGATAAAGAGGTAGGTAAGTAGTTAGGTAGTTAGTTAGGTAGGGTAGGTAGGTAGGTAGGTAGGTAGGTAGGTAGGTAGGTAGGTAGGTAGGTAGGTAGGTAGGTAGGTAGGTAGGTAGGTGGATAAAACGGTAGATAGAAAATGATAAAAAGATCGATCGATTGATGGATGGATAGGCAGATAGATAGATACCAAGATAGTTAGAAAGACGGATAGATGACCGATAGGTGACCGATAGATAGATAGATAGATAGATAGATAGCTAGATAGATAGGTAGATAGATAGATAGATAGATAGATAGTTAAATAGATAGATAGATTAGACAGATGGATAGATCGATCGATCGACAAACAGATCGATAGATAGATCGATAGATAGATCGATAGATAGATCGATAGATAGGTCGATAGATCGATAGGTAGATAGTTCGACACATACATATATATATATATATATATTTATACACATGCACATTGAGGTAGACAGGTAAAACTCAAGTACATGATAGATGGAGCCGTAGGTAGATAGGTAAATAGGTAGGAAGGCGGATCAGCAGACAGGTAGATAGATCGATCCATGATCCGGTAGATAAACTGATCGACTACGAGATAGAATAGAATAGTATTTGGTGCGCAAACAGATGGCATGCTCAGGTCACACACCCCGCGGGCTGCTATGGGCTTTTGGGATGAGGATTCGGAGTCGATATTGCGCCCAAAATGGCCCACGTGTAGAAAACCTGCACTAGGGCTCTAGGGCCACCTTCCACCCTAAACTCCGAACCCGGCATTTAGCGCATTAGGCCCCAGTGGAGCCCTTCCGGATAGGTTGGCAGAGTAAGGGTTTAAGTAATGCCAAGTTGCAGCTGATGTCGTCATCCTTGCCTGTGAAAGAGCCCCTCCTCGTCTGAGGTTGCTGGGCACAACTGTCATGGGGCTTTCTAGGGTTCTAACAGGGGTCTATAAGGCGTTCCGGTCGTTTAGTGGTGCTTTGTAGTGTTTCGGAATTAAAGCCCCGCGGAGTTTAGTTAGGGCTTGGGGAGCTCGGAACTTGACAATTTAAGGGTTCGGGCGTTCAGATTTCGGAGTTTGGGGCTTAGGGTTTGAGATCGGATTTAGGGTTCAGGCTTGACGGCTTTTAGGGCTTAGGGTTTAAGGTTTAGGATTTAGGGGCTATGTAAGGTCATAGTGTCTTGTAATTCTTAGAGAGTTGCATAGGGTGTCAATAGCGCAGCGGCTCTTTGTTATGGACTTACGTGGGGGGGGGTTCTTTTGGGCCGTGGACGTGCGCATCTTCAACTTAGCGGATCCAAACAACACCCCCCCCCCCCCCCC